AAAAAAAAAAAAAAAAAAAAAAAAAAAAAAAGAAAGCAACCATACTGTAAAAACCACTATAATTATAGTGCCTCAATCGCAGCACTGCAAATAGCGTTATAAACACGTTACAAAGGTGGTGTCTCAATGTGATTTGAAAGCACCACGTATAAAAACACTACAGTTAACCTGGAAAGCATTGCCATATATCATCGTATTTGAAACTTGAATTCACCAGAAACCAGCAGCCGAACAGATCACGATGGAACATCGGACAACTATTTAAATTATAGAAAATATTTTCACTCAAAGTACTAAGTACCTATTAACTTCAAAAATGAAATTAAACAAAAGTTTTTATTCAAATGATATAACAACTGATTGTCTTTAACAAACAAATTAAGCATCTCATGACACCGATATCACCAACGAAAAGGAAGAAGGAATATATGAACCGTCACTGTACCAAAAAACAATTACACTTTGTCAAGCCGACAAATTGGACTATTGTATATAACCTCTAGGTCAACTTTAGAGCCAAAAAGGTCACGAATGTTGTTCAAACCGTAACGTATCATCGTGGGTCTACAAAGAAAATTTTCGTAAGGAATTATAAACGCGATCACAGACTGCTGTAAACAGTGACGAAAACTCATTACTTTTTTTTGAAATCAAAATGGAGCAGTTAAGAACTGAAAATAACTAACCTTTCAAGGGAAAGACCATATCCAGCAACATTTACGTCGGGCGGCAAACCCATAGGAAGGAGCATTTCCGGACGGAACATACCAGAGTTACCAATTTCCACCCACTTTTTTAAACCTTTATGGAAGGCAAACACTTCCATAGAAGGTTCTGTGTAAGGATTATATGTCGGTTTAAAGCGAAGATTTCTGATACCTGCAGAACCAGTAAACAAAACCAAAATCTGTGTCGTAAAGCAAAAAACTTGTTGACGTGAAAATTCATGTTGCTTAGAAAAATTGAAAGAGAAGCACCCTTCTTTTCAATCCGTACTGTAAAGTATGATGTTCATATTACGAGCAATTACTTAAAATTTACCGCATTTACGGAAAAATTCAGTAAACAACCCCATCACGTGCGCCAAAGAAAGATTTCTTTCCGCTATAACCCCTTCAACCTGAAATATTTTGATTTAATATTACAGTGAGATAATCAAGCCGGAAAGAATAGTTATGTGAGTAGTAAGGTGATTGACTGACTTGGTGGAATTCTGCTAAATGGGTGGCATCAAGAGTTTCATTGCGGAAAACTCGGTCGATGCTAAACAGTTTAACCGGTCTGAAGTTCTGAAACAAAATTTCAAAAAGCCTTTTTCAGCAAAATGAACCAACTAAGTCATTAACGACCTTCAAATGTTACGTTTTGAGCTAATTTGTACAGTTGACGAGCGCTGACAGCCGTTGTATGTGTACGCAAAACATTCTTCTGAGCCTCTTCTAGTTTCCATTCGTAGTTATATCTGTAAAAATATCGATTATAATTAGCAGCGCAACCCATACCAAAGTGAAACGCATATACTAGGAAAATACAACACAGTTACTAAAAACAATTAAACACCTACCCTTTTGAACCGTAACCTCCCTTTGAATGAACAGTCTTTACTCGTTCCAGGTAATCCTCAGGAAAATTAAAACTATTCGCTGGATCTGACACAAAAAAAGTGTCATGTGCATCCCTAGCAGGGTGTTGTTGAGGTTGAAAAAGGGCATCGAAGTTCCAAAATGAACTTTCAACATACCTGAAATCAGACCTGTCAAACCTGTACTAGAAAGCTAAAAAAAAACAAAAGTATGAAGCGCATTTCTCAACCTAGCAAGCTCTCTCCCTTATTTTCAAAGTAAAATCAAATCGCTCGCTCTAACAACAAAACTTTTTGAAATGAAAATAAATTGTGTAAAGCAAAAAGCAAAAAAATAGACCTGTTAGTTGGCATCTCGGAGAAGCCCATTTGGAAAAAGATTTGCCTAAATTCATTCCGCACTTTCATCAACGGATGCAAATGACCTCCTGATGGCATAATTCCGAAAGCTTCAAAGTTATATTTTTTGAATTGTTTTGTTCTCCAAGAACCGCTGTAAAACTTGCTTATGCAATGACAAAATTCGCAATTTCAGCTACATGACCAAACCTTTTCCGTTGTTTTATGAGAAGCAGCAGTAAAATAAACTACTGTCCGTTGAAATAATAACCGACAAAGCTTTCACGAAGACTTCAAAAACCCTAATATTAACGATGTTGACTGGCCGTATTAATTCGCAACAATCATAGAAAGCTATCGAAGATCCAAAAGAATAAATGTTAAAAGCGTTTAGATTAACACCAAATTTACTCGCTAATCCAAATAACTACTTATCCTTACTTGGCAATCATATCTGCAGTAAGATCCACTTCAGGCTTTTCAAGAACAGTTGTAAAACGATGGCCTTTCTTAACTTTATAGCTTTTAATGTTCCTAAATTAACAGTCCTTTAAAAAAATAATTATGAATATGAGAAAAAAATGACTAAGTAAAAAACGAACGTTTCTGAAAGCAGTTTCCGTTTTTTAAATTCTTGTATTGTCTTTGGATTCAAATCCGCTATCCTACCACTTGTAATACGTTTCAAGTCACGCTTAACAGTGTCTTCAATCTCGTCGATCTTACGAAACAGACGCACATTCCCACTGGACTTGTCCACAAATATCCAACCGGCGGCAAGTGCTTTACTTATTCCTACTTTGCCATACGGAAGTTTCTATAAATCTCAGAACGGGTTTTGAGGTACATTTTTGGCGTTGTCAAGAAGGATAACATCAAATTTATCTGATGATTTAGTTAGATTCCACTAATAGTTCTGTGATTCATTCAGGCCATCAAGGCACTACTAATTGTAATTGCTTTTGACAGTGTTTGTTTCTAGTGACCTAAGGCTCATGCGTTACAGCTCAAAAGTTTTACTTCCAGATTAAAGCCTCAAGAAATTAATTATAAACCTACCCCATTAAAAAATATTTATGAAGCAATGGACTCAACAACAAAGAATTATTTCGCTTACAGAACGGTGTTGCCAAAAGGCACCAAATGCTTCTCAGCAAAAGTTAGAAGTTTTTAGTTACATAGGATAACGTTATTTAATAAAAACCAGTGAAAAAAAAGATATTCAAACAAAAAATACTGATGCTTATCCAGTTGGGAACTATAAACGTTACAGGCGTAGGATATAACTGATATTACTACAATTTCTAGAACAAAATTTTTGATTCTGGACTAATTTACTACAGCCGGCGTTGATATTAAGGTACAATCTAATAACTTTTTCTGTTTTGTTTTAATTTTTTTTTGGTAACTACATTTTGGTTCTCAATTTAAAGAAAGTTAAGTCGTCAAAGTCCTCAAGTCATTGAAAGACACCTCCGTTTTTATGATTTGGTACAACATTCCCATTGATAAAGTAAGGAAAGGTTGGCTGAAGAAGTTTTCTGAGCGTAAAAAGTGGAGATCTGTACAGTCATAAGCATTACATCAAAGATAAAAAAGGAATTTATTACATCTAAATAAAACAGCAAATTTAAACATCCTGAAATTTCCATTTATAAAGCGATTAGACGTCAAGACTAATTACTTGAAACTGTTTATTTTAGTCATTTAATTCCAAAAACATCTTCACTTTTCGATGAAAATTTTTATGCCCTTTTCTAGCAAAAATTATCCATAAATACAAAAAGGGTCACAAGCAGTATAGATTTACAGAAATGTAGTACTTAACTTCACTATTTACTGCTCAGACAAATTAAACAATAAACGATGTCAGTCCTATACGTTATTAAATTAACAGTTTTTTGTCAACACTATTTTATATAAACTAAAAATAAAAAAGAATTTTGAGGAGATCTTTTACAATCCCCGAAATCCAAAGAGTAGTCAATGAAAGAACTTGCCATGATATCAGACTGAACAGCACCTTCTTTCCCAATCCTCAAGAAAACATTGGCTTCATGAGATCCGTTTTCTGACATAGCCTTACCTTCAGACGATAGTTCAACCCTTTTCGTCACATACTCTTCGGCAACTATTAACTGAGGAAAATACCCACCGTTAGCGTTCAGAATAACAAATAATTCAAAAAAAAAAAAAAAAAGTTTCTAATGAATCCTCTACATCAGAAAATTAAAAATAATACGAGCTGTTTGTCACGCAGTTAAAAACAGCGTAAGCCGTAATTTTAATATAAGTTAAAAGGAATAAGTTCCATACCCCGTCTTGTGCTAGCAAACTCTTGATGGCTCCAACAATTTTCTGATGATCAACTCCAAGTCTGCTTGAAAGCTCTAGCGTCTCAAAACTTTCATGCTTTTCAAGTTCTTTTAATATAAATTCTGGGGATACACAGTCACCTTCGGCTGAGAGAGAATCCACAACTTTCATACTTGTTAGACAAGATGGCGAGCCGAAAGGTACTCTAAAAATATAAAAGTCGAATAGCAATTCTACACTCATTCCGTACAACTGAACTCGCCAATAATTGATTAGTACCACAAACTATAATAACCAACCTGTTAGTAGCATACTAAACCAACAAAAACAGAAAATTAAGTAGGAGTTTGGAAGACGGCAGGCCAACAATAAAAATAACATCGTTATCTCAAACAAAACACGTTTCTATTTCCTTATAATGACAAACTTCTTGATGTAAAATAAAGTTGAAGACTATTACTGCTATTAAAAACAAAAAAGTTCACAGAAACTAACACATTAAAAAATCACTTTGGAACATATTTCAGAAAAAATACAACTTAAACGCTAAGCGACGCATTACAAGGCAGACGAATACCAACTTAATTTGTGAGACTTGTGACCTAAGATGATGAGGCGGTAAGACAGTACTTTGGGATGACAAAAAATAGTATCGTGTACAAAATACACTAAACACCACTTCACAATCGTGATCAGTTATGAATCGCTGTTTCATTTCAAGAACATCAAACAATGATCTTGTTCCAGCACTCAACATTTTTTAAAGTAGCAGTTAATTCAAGCAGTGCTTAGCGTGAAATTCAAAATTAAACAAATAATCGAAGGGAAGAATTTAAGAATTTCAAATTATTCAACAAAATGAGCCGCAGAAAAAAATAGGAAATTAAGTCAGAAGGTTATTAATAGATGGTGGAATTTTAATGTGTTCCAACTGTTTGTTGCTTAAGGAGAAAATACTGAAAAAACAAACATTTTTTTCTCCAGAAAAAAATTTAAAAATAACTCTGCTGTTTAAAGAACGGTCCCCTCAAATTCTTCCTTAATTTGACTTCATGTAAGTAACTGCAGTTGAAAGTGAAAAAGTAGAGCCTATATTTCATAAGATACAAAAAAACCCTCACTTTTCCGAATCCGTCTGGTAACTCGACAGGTGCCTCAACCACCGTGAAAGGTGGGGAAATCTGTGGACATCAAGCGAAACAGGCGAGAGCTTCTTGTAAAGTTCAAAGTCAGAATCCGTCAGTGTATGACTAAAGAAGAAGATAACAATTATGCAGAAACAGAAGCACATAGAATACAGTCACAGAGGCCATTATCAACTAAGAACTTAAATAATAGGCGAAAAAATTTGACCACAGACTTAAGACTGTAATATGATACTGTCTTCTATACCGTTTTCGCCCCAAAACTTATGGGTTTGACTATACCATCCTTCAACAATTTAGAGCTCAAAACTACCAATTTTACTCTTTCCTAATAATTACGATAAATTATATGACATCAGAACTGAGGAATCATATGCTCGCTATTCGATAAGGTAGAATGAAAATGCCGTTCAAATTAAAGAGCTTCAAATAGATACTGTAAGTCTGGTAGATACTATACAATGACCTATTAATCTTCTCTGCCCCCCACCAAGAAAAGCACTTTTAGGCTGCTGTACAGAATGAGATTGACCATTTCATTATGACGCCAATGCTTATTCTTCCTGCCTAATTAAATCCGTTTTTCTACACAAAATTTCTCCTTACCTGAATTGTCTCTGCATAAAAAAAGAAAAAATTCAGCAATAAATGACTGCGAAACAGACGCAGTTCAAAAGAATTTTACGACCTCAGCAGTCCCCTTATAACACAGTGGAATTCAGAAATGCACATAAAATCATACTGCGAATTCAACCTGTTAATTTCTGGTGCTCAAAATGCATTACTCACCGAACTAACGTTCCCGGCTCGAGGTTCCACCAAATAATGCACATAAACACTGCCTCTTCTCAAATGAGCTCATTTCCTCCCAAAAAAACTCACGCATTTTTAGCAAACGACCCTACAAACTCACCCTTTTGCAAAGCCAAATTCTTCAAAATGTTTGTTAAGACTCTCCAGCTCCAAAAATTCCATCCACCATCAAACGTCTGCCCGTCGAAAAGCGCTGGAAAACATTTTTTACAGCCTTGAAACCGCCAACACCCAACATTTATACTTACAACTAAGCAAAGAAGAAACCGCGTAAAAAAAAGCCTCACGCCCTACAACGTACTGTATCCAGTAAGTTCACTGCCGTTACTACCATTATAGGTTACATTAAGAACACCATCTGCAGAAAACTTTATACAATTTTAAATTCTCAAACAAAAAATCGAACTGACCAAATCGTCTAACAACTTTCAATCAGGTTGCTTACTTTACTGCTGTACAGGAACTTAACTTTTCGCTATATTCGACAAGACCTCACAGAGGTGAAACAATTAATTCAACACACATTAATCTAGCGAAAATCAAAATCGAAAACAAATTATGGGGACTGGATCAATTCCAAAAAAGGAAATTGTCCCCATCGAGTTTAAGTAAACATTACAGGCAAGGTGAAGGATACACAAATAAAATGGGAGGTAATCGAAATTACATCTCTATAATGATGATGAGAAACATGAGGTCAAAAAAAAGCAGAAATTTACGACACACAGGTTTGAAAAGGTGATTCCAGAGCGCTTATAACTCAAATATTCAAACACCTGCTTTTCAGCACAAGCGCTTCATTTCTGTCTGACAATACTTTGTTCAACTTAGACTGATCTTCTAGCCGTTTTGACATAAATTCTGTTTCTCTCTTTATATTTTCTTGACAACTTTGTAACTGCTTTTCTCCTGAAAAAAATTCAAAAATAACTCATAGAAGACTAAAAGAACTGTAAATTACTTAATATTTAAAAAACTTCTCTTCGCGTAACTTTTAAGCTAGTTGAGGATTGATAAGAAAAGCTGAAGGTGTAGAAACAAAAAATCTCACGCTCAAGTATAAAAGAAAATTAAAGCGACCCCAATAATTTGAGATAATATGGGGTCAATACGAAAACACAACTTACTTGACTGGTACTTATTCACTACTTGAGTCAGTTCCTTTATTTTCTCACTATTCTTGGAAATTTCTTCTTAAACATATTTATTTCATTTTAATACATTTTGATGTTTCAAATACAAAAAGCTTTAAGAATACAAAACAAAAAACAGACAACTTCTTCAGAGGTAAGTTTTTCAAAAAAAAAAAAAAAAAGTGAAAAAATAAACCTTTATTAGATTTGCCAACACTTTCCAGTTTCCTTAGCAAAGTCTCAACAGCAGTTCCAGTTTTGGAATTACAATTCGCATATTCAATTACCGACCTCTAAAATGATACAATGCTATATAACAATGTTTAATAATCATCAGCAAAAGGTAAGGCCTTTATAAAAACAAGTAAAATTCACTGCCGTCACACAAACAACTGTTTCAAAAAATAAGTTCAAAAACGTCCCCACTTTTTCCATTAGCTCTCCTTTAACTAGTTTATAAAACCTGATCCTTCGAATCTTGTTCCAGCACTGAAGAGAAGGGAGTGCCTAATCAATGAAAATGGGACGGAGGGAAAGAAAAACACTTTTCAGCGGAAATTTGCAACCATAATAGAAAGAAAAAGAATATCATGCAAGTGCTGACTTGATTAACTTGATCTCGATATTTTCAAACGTGATGAAGGAAGAAAAAGATAAAAAGAGAAACATTTAGAAAGCGTTTCCAAATAGAGAGTAGAGAAGAAGGCAAACAGTATACTTAGGAACCTCTATTTCTTTTTCGTTTGGAAATCTTCCGAGTACTTCCTTCAAAGGTTGAAATAAGAGATCCAAGGCTTCGCACATTGCTTGTGAAATAACTAAAATGATAAAAAACAGACATCAAATTTGAGGGAGGTAAGTTGGTTGATCTCACAGCGGCAGGACTGACGTCAGGAAAGTTAATAAATAAGCAAAAAGTCAGAGCTTTAAACTGTCTCTCGTGTGGCAGTTCGTAGGACATAAAACCTGTCTTACATTTATTTGAACAAAAAAGAAGAAATAAACGACAACTTTAGTCAAATAAATACTCCGTCTGTAAGACATGCTATAAAATTGAAAAAAGGTTCACAGGAATTAAAAACCTAAGCTTTTTTGGTACAAGTCTCCCAAGCTGTACTGTAAATTTTACAGCATTTTAAACACATTTACAGACATCGAGAAGTTATTATAATCCGTGGGGAAGCGCACGATGTAATTAGGTAATCTAGAATGGCCTCTACCACTAATAAATGTACTTTACGCACCCGTTATCAACAATGCTTCCATTAAGTACCACTATTTTCCATCCTCAAAAAAAATAAAAGCACAAAAAAAGTATGTAATTAGGTAAAAGAGAGCTGATAGCAGGAAATCCTAAGAAATATATAACTCAAAATTCGAAATCGAAAACAAATACCGAAATACAATTTAAAATTCCGCTACTCTACACGAAAATTTCAACTCCAGCGTAGCGCTGAAAATCCCGCCAATGCGATTAGATACTGGAAAAATTCCATTTCAAACTTCAAGCTTAGTATGGCCAAGGCTCCTCAGTGGTTTTCTGATGTTTAAGGAAGTTATTCCGGAAAGCCCTTTTAGTAACTAAAGTGCCTTAATAATGAGATACTAAACTACGCTACTCTGATTAGAGTTTCCTCGTCACTTTTTTCCTTTTTGACTTACGCGTCATTTCCTCTGAAGACTTTTCGTCATTCCGTAACCAGCTCGCCGTTCTTAAATTTAATCTACCGCACAAAATTCAAACTTATATATAGGTTTCTTTAATACCGCGTATGCTGCAGTGGCAAAATGCCAACAGTTTTGGATATGGGCCAGAAAAAATTTTTGTTCCCAGGAATTTTCTGCTCAAATCAGGAATGAACTCCCCGAGCAGCAGGGTCATTTCTGAATTTTGCTGTCACCGATGTCAGAAAAATTTACCTCTCCTCTGCGCTTCAAAAAAGTTATATATCTTTTCGAACCTTTTCTCCTAGATTCCTATGCACATTAGTGTAGAGTTGTAGATGTCTTTTCCTTTGTTATTCTCGTGAACCGTTGTCACAAAGTAAAGCACTTCACCGAGAAGAAACTTTTGAAAATTAAAAATGTTGCTTAACCTCTGCTTACTGCGCGC